AGGTCGAATCAAAATAGTGATCGAGCGAACCACTATGTAAGTACAAATTTAAAAAAATATATTTTTGTGGTGCAACAGAGGTGTGGTCCAACCACATTGGGTATGAACCCACTCGCACTACTCCCGTGGTGCCGGGAGTAATTTTAACCCGCCTATATGTCTAGGCTCTGGGTGCAGGATACTATAAAGATGGGTAAGAACGTAACGAGGGTGGTTACACTGTCGGCTTCACAAAACAAGATACTCAAACAGTAAATGAAGAAAATGATATTTATGGTTTGGTGGGGGTACCCAACTTCGGTGCTGCTCCGGTGGTGCTGCCAAACCCTAGTTCCGCCACTGGAACACAACACTTTCAAAATTTAAATCTTTCTGGGCCTCAACTGCCCTTATGCTCACTAGCACTAGTTCCTCTATTGGCATCGACCGGACTTACTATTTGATTTATAATTTTGGCTCAACTGGCACTAACACAAAAAAAAACACTAACAATATTTTTGTTCTAAACGCTCGATCGTTCAAAAAGAGTGGTTTACCCCTAAAGACTGCGAGAATCTCATCCGGCACGTATTTTGGAGCCAAGCCGCAAGCTACGCCTCGGCCTTCAGAATTAACATGAGAATATGTATTGGTCCCAATTATTTGGTGCCGCCCCCATTTCTCAAAGTGGCCGGGTTGTATAGAGCACGTTACCATGGACCACCAAGTACGCTGGGATAATTTTCCCCTCGCCTTTTTAAGGAATACCCGCGTAATGCATTTCGTTTCCCTAATAGTTGTTAGTGGAGGAACCGTTTTGTAGGAACACCTGCTTTTAGAGACTTATACCACTGGGTAGGCACCACCGAATGCAACCGTGCCATCAAGTGAGTGAAAGAAAATATATAGAAAAACACAAAAAAGTCTTTGTTGCGGCTAGTACGCTACAGTATGTATACATGACAGAAAATGCCTCAAGATATACATAAATGCATATACATTTTCATTCATAAACACTTGCGCCCTACAGCATAGTAAAGTGTGTTGATTCATAAACCACACACAATCATTTGTATTTCCATTTTCCTTCATCCGAGGATTCATCGTAGCGATAAATTTCACGTAAAAGTTTTAAGCGATTTATCTCATTTTTACCCGAAGCGAAACATGTAGGATATGTACTTTTAATATCATAGTTAAAACCTATTTTAAAATTAACGCTAACGATGAGCTCGTACCGTGTAAAAATTAACAATTCCATTTCGTTTCAATAAAATGGCTTCGATACGAACAAAATCATTTCGTTAAATTGCTTGCATTGCTTCCTATTGTTTTTAATATTTGAGTTGGCGGCCACGGTACCCGATTGGTTAGCATTGCGTACTGCCATTCGGAAGGTTCGGGTTCAAGTCCATGTGTTTTGATTAATAAAAAATTAATTTAAATTTTTAATTGCGCCCGCTCCTCGGCAGTGTATTGTACATGAAATAAAGCTCCTCTGCCGTTCGGAGGCCGCTTAGTATAAACTGTTGGTCTGTCCATTTGTTGAAAAAACAACAAGACGCAAAACCACGAATTGGAGGAGGAGCTCGGCCGAAAATCGCTTCAGCGGTCACAAAGCGCTAATTGTGTAAATATATATAGTTGTGTTTTCGTCAGTCACCAGCATATAAAGCAACAACGTGATGTGAATGTTACGAGTTAAAGAGAAATGGTACATGTATAAGTATTTTTGAAAACGTCATGCTCAAAAGCATTCTCAGAGAAATTGAAGTCATAAAAGAAATATGTTTGCCGCTAGCAACCTTCGAAATAGTTTGATATTTCAATAATACAACTTTTATACTAAGAAAAATGTGGGCTATAGTAAAATGAAGAATTTTGTCCTAAAAAAATTATTTCGAGTGGCAAGATAGCTTTGCAAAAATTTTAAAATTTTTTAGAAATTTATAAAGCATGAACGAAGGCTGTTCCCGATTTCCGTTCAGGTTTTTTTGCAAATACAATATTAAACGCCCCAAAGATTGCCCTAAAAAAAAATTCTGCTCAAATTACAAAAGGTGACCCAAGACAGCTGCTTTTCCACTTTATGAAAATGGTTATGGTATTACCAAACGAGCTATTCAAATACGGCGGTGAAGAACTGATAGCTTGCGGGTATCGACTTGTTTGCAAAATATTGTGGGACGAAAGCTTACACGACGACTGGAATTTAAATGTGATCTGCCCAATAAAGCTTCCATAATATCGCATATAAGGTTCTTCCGAGCGTAGTGTGTGTCGATTTCAAAGCAGCCTTCAACAGCAAGAAAGGGAGCTGCCTCTAAGCCGCTGTGTCTGAATTTGGTACCGCCACAAGGTTTCAGACAATGTGATTCCTTACCGTGTGACGTCTTTAGTTTATTGGCGCAGAAAACTATAAGAGCTACAGAGCTTGTAATGTTCACCTGTTAGCGGACGCAGATGATATTGACATTATCGGCCTCAACAACCGCGCCGTTAGCTCTGTTTCCCACAGTTCTGGCAATGAATGAAGGCAAAACGACATACAACCTGGAGTTTGATGATTGATTTGAACAGTCGTCGTAGTAGCGACTTGTCGCCAACGTCACTTTCGATAGTCATAAATTTGTAGTCGTATAGAACTTTGTCTATCGTGGAGCCAGTATTAACACCAATAACCATGTTAGCCTAGAGTAGGAAATTTAAAAGTAAAGTCCTCTTTCGACGAGCCAAAACCTAACTCAACAACTCTACAACTCGCTTATCGTTCCCGCCCTACTATATGGTGCGAAAGCATAAACGATGACAACATCCGATGAGTCGCCGTTGGAAGTTTTCTAGAGAAAGGTTTTGCGTAAAATTTATTGTTCTCTACGAGTGGGCGGGGTGGGGTATTCACCCCGTTAAAACAATGAGCTGTATGAGATATATGTCGATATTGACATAGTTCCGCGAATTAAAACGCAGAGGCTGCTAGACCACATGACTTAGGTTCGGATGGATAAGATTACTTCAGCGTTTTCAGTGCAGTACCCGCCGGCGGAAGCAGAGGAAGGGGAAGATCTACACTCCGTTGAAAAAACCAGGTTGAGGAGGACCTTTCTGAACTTGGAATCTCAAATTAGTGCCAAACAGCTGCCTCCTAATTTTCATTTAAGCAAAGATAGAGTTTAAAACATAACATAAATAGTATTCTTATATTATTATATATGGCCATTGATCAGAATATATAATTGACTCCTCTTACCACGCATTAGTTTATGAGCCATAAAAGCTATTGCCTACTGTAAGGAGTCTCTATTTCCTTTCAAGATTTAACTTTATTTGACATATTATTTTATATAATTACCATATTTAATATTTTCCTTCTTATCTCGGTGCATTCATAGATAAATCAGAATCGGAATCATTCCTATTATGGAATAATGTAATATTTATTAAAGAAACTAAGTGTTTTAAGTAAATTCAAACTTAAATTTTACTCAACTTTATAATAATTAGGAGAGGTGTGCTCAAAAAATATCGCGAATTTTGTGTTTTTTCAAAAATTATTTATTTATTCATAAATATCTATTTTGTCCCCTTCAAAGTAATCCCCATGAGATATTTTACACTTGTGCCAACGGGTTTTCTCCTGCTCCTCCTTTGATGTCGTCTTTATCTCGTCAATCGTAGCGAAACGTCGTCCTTTCATGGGCCTCTTCAGCTTAGGGAACAAGAAAAAGTCACAGGGGGCCAGATCTGGGGAATTGGGTGGCTGCGGCATCATTGATGTGTTGTTTTTGGCCAAAAAGTCGCGCACAAGCAACGATGTGTGAGCAGGAGCGTTATCGTGGTGCAAAAGCCAATTTTTGTTCTTCCACAAATCCGGGCGTTTCTGGCGGAATGCTTCGCGCAAATTGCGAACTTGTAGGTAATATTCCTTATTGACCGTTCTACCCTGTGGCAAGAACTCATGATGCACCATGCCCCTGCAATTAATTTTTTCGTCTGTTGTTGAAGTGCTCGGGCTTCCGGCACGCTCTTTGTCGTTCACATCTTCTCGGCCTTCTGAGAACATTTTGTCCAAGGTAGCTTCTCCGTATGCCACAGTCAACAGTCGGAATGCATCTGCGCAGGTTCTTGGATCCATTTTTTTGAATAAGGTACACACGTGCAAGCAAAGCACGTCGGCATAACGCCACAAAAAAATCGAAGTTCGATTGTACGAAACCAGCGAAAATTCAAAATTCGCGATACTTTTTAAACACACATCGTATTACGATTCGTATTAAACAAATATGCTAGGGTCATAATTGTACTTTATTACGCCAAATGCAGCAGCGAAGTGGATAGCAGTGCGTGCTATAAATGGGATTACGCGTTCGTTTTTGTTTCCAGCACTATTGACAGTAATTAGAAAATTGAATTGGCATGTGTTACTCTTTATGAAAGAGATGTTTAACAAATGATGCCAAGATTAACACAACGAAAAGACTATGATTCGATTTTTTTGATGAATATGAAATCTAAAGGTACACAGAGTGTCAATAAATTTTTGGGACATATATAATTTAATGTTATTTCCTTTACCTAGGTGGAGAAATTTTAGTTAAACAGACCTAATTCAAAGTTGTTGCATTAAATCAGCACGGCTTACTGTTGTCTATAATATTACAATCATTATCAAATACACTATTTTATTTATGCTTCATGTATATGTTTTAAAATTATAAAAACATTTATTTGGAAGCAAGTATATAGAAATATTTTTTAGCGTGATAAGTTGGACCTTATTGAGCTTTTAACGTGAACTCATGATAAAATATTTTGTTGCATGGATTCTCGTCCATAGCTGTTTGTGAATTAGTTGTAACTAATACTAGAGTAGTAGAATGCAAGATTTACTTAAATTAGGAACGGTTAAGTAATTTTAATAAAGCAACATTTTAGTATTTAACAAAGCAAATAAAGTAAAACGGAAACAAATACATAACAATTATGCTAAAAATTTTCTCTCTACATTGAGAAGGTCTTACCATTATTATAAGGGTGTAATTGTAAGCCGGACGTGGAGCTGCTGAAAAAGAATTCCAGTATCATTGTAAAAACGCTATTTGAATAATTAATTAATAAAAAAAATATAAAGAAATATGTCTCAGTTTACCTGTCTATGCTTATATATGGATTTTTCACATTACCATCAAAAATGTTTATTTATTTAAAAAAGAGCATACGATCATCAAACCTAATTGAAGTCAGTTTGTTTGAGCATTTATTAATTTCGCAGAAATTGTGTTTCACATCTTAAAAAATAAATGTAAATAACTCTCTCTTAACTTATATATACATTTGTTCGTTATTAAGATCAACAAAAATTCGGAATAGTGGGACATTTATTACAATTTACAGCCGGATATAATAGCTACCTAGTCCTAGTTACAGCAATGCTAAACAAAGTAGCTCATATGACCAAAAAGATCAAGGACTGCATCTAATGTGAATGGTTACGAAGTGTGATAGTTTAGTAATGATACTGATTCCATAAAAACCGTAAATATCAAAACTATTCTACAACTCTGCAATCTCCTTCAAAGTGGTCTCTTGAGCAGCTTTGCAAGGATTCCAGCGCGTTTTCTATGCGGCCGATATGTGACTCTGTGACTTTTTTTGTTCTCTAAACAAAGTCGGTGGTCAAAGGAAGCCAGGTTGAGTCGAAGCGTCGAAGAGTCGAAGAAATGTAACATTTCTGGAACGCTTCGACTCAACCTGGCTTCCTTTGACCACCGACTTTGTTTAGAGAACAAAAAAAGTCACAGAGTCACATATCGGCCGCATAGAGCGGTTATTGCAACACGGCGATCCTTTAGAGGCCAAATACTGGGACTGGGCGGTGTGGCACGGCGCATTGTCGCGATGCAGGATGCAATTACGAGGAAGAAATTCTTTGTGGACGATAGCGCACCTCGACTTGTCTCCCGCACCGCCTCTCGTCCTCCACGCATTCACGCCCCTCCTTAAAATTTTTAAGTGTTGCATGCATCAGCTACTATGCATATGAATATGGTCGGACGAAAGCAGGTCCGAAGGTTTTCATTTAAGTGTGATCTGTCCATTGCAAAAAGAGGCGATCCCACACTCAGCACCAACTACACCTACTTAATATCGCATATATGGTCCTTTCGAGCGTATTGTGTGAACAACTAAAACCCACCGTCAAACAAACTGGTTGGACCTTATCAATGTGGCCTTAGACCTGGTAAATTAACTATTGACCAGATATTCACCATGCGCCAATTTTTAAAGCAGCCTTCAACAGCACGAAAGAGAGCTGCCTCTAAGCCGCTCTGTCTGAATTCGGTATCGCCACAAATCTTATACGGCTATGTAAGCTGACTTTCAGAAATACCAAAAACCAAAGGGATCTTTCCGAGCCGTTCGATACCAAACAAGAGCTCCAGAGCTGAGTAGAGAAGGTGCAATCTTTCAATGTTCAGCTGCTGGGCGAACGCAGATCATATTGACATGGATGGCCTCAACAACCCCGCCATGAGTTCTGCTTTCTCAAGGACTTATAAAGAAGCGAAGCATGTGGGTCTGGTAGTGAATAGCGGTAAGGCGAAATATCTCCTGGCATCAAACAAACAGTCGTCGCATTTGCGACTCGTTGCACTGTCGATAGTCATTAATTTGAATTCGGCAGCCGAGGTAGCCGAGTGGTTAGAATTGTGTACTGACATTCGGAAGGTTCGGAAGCGGCTTAGTATAAACTGTAGGTCTATCTATTTGTTGGAAAAACTTTAAGACGCAAAAACCACAAATTGGAGAAGGAGCTCGGCCGAAAAATCGTTTCAGTGGTTACAAAACATCAATGAGATATATACATAGAACTTTGTCTATCGTAAAACCAGTATTAACACCAACAACCATGCTAGCCTGGAAGTTCAGCGCAGAATCATACTTGCCAACAGCGAAGACCAAACTCTACAAGTCACTTATCGTTTCCGTCCTGCTATATGATGCGGAAGCATGGACGATGACAACTTCAGATTAGTCGGCGTTAGGAGATTTTGAGAGAAAGGTTTTGTGTAAAATTTATTGTTCCCTTCAAGACGTATGACCTAGGTTCGGTTGGATAAGATTACCCCAGCTTTTAAGGTTTTCGGTGTAGTACCCGCCGGCGGCAGAGGAAGAGGAAGACCTACACTCCGTTGGAATAACCAGGTTGAGGAGGACTTGGCTGAACTTGGATTCTCAAATTAGTGTAAAACAGCGAAAAAAATGAAGGCATAATGTAATAATTCGTCTATGGTCGCTGTGGAAGTGACTGGTAATTTAATTTTATTTTAATTAGTTCTCTGTAATAGCAAAAATGCAAGCAAAAGACTAATCGTTGCCCAAATGAGTGTTACAGCAAGGCATTTCTTGCTCTTATATGTTTTTTGTCATTTTGTAAAATGGGCATAGAACAATTTATTTAATATGCTTTGTTGATTATAATTTACATTAGATGGTTATTTTTTTATTGAAGTCCAAAATCGAAGTTTACTAAAAATTTTTTTATTCATAAGATCAAATTTAGTCGAATACAATTCTTTAGAGATCCCAAAAAAAAAAAGAAATTTATTTAACCGTCTAAGTTGTGACTTGTAAGAGACTGCATATTACATATTTATGAACATTAGTTTTTATTTACTGGATCTGCAACAACATCGGAAGCTTACAATAAGTAATAAAATCTTTAACTAACTTGACTTAAACTTAAATAAAACAAAAGACTGCTTGCAGGAATAGGCTGTTGGCTTGACATAACTTTATTGAAGGCTGGTTTTTCCCTTTTGTGCAGGCAGGTTGATGCGGAAGCCAAGGTGTTAGCCGAAGGGTTCGGATGATTATGAAGTTTTGTTACGTATTATTGGGTTGCGGTTTTATTCTGTTATTTGATGGTGGATATATTCTATATATTCTCTATGGCTAACTTCATTACGCAAGTAATATGGTACGGTACGACTTTTTATTTGAAAAATGTAAGCTAGCATATTTGAGTTGGATCTGATGAAAATGTTTCATCTTTAGGTGAAGCGCCTGTCTAAGTGCATTCCGACATATGTAATTTCGTCGACGGTATTGCATTGTAGAACATAAGGGGGGGGGGGGGGGTATATTTTTGGATTTAATCCTTCTTAACAACATCTGACATCCGATCTGTGGCGTAAATCGCTGTGGCGTTGGGTTGTATATTTTATTGGCGTTATGTAAAGTTCTTGCTGAAAAACACGGTGGAAATGCAAATTATGAACTTCGTAACAATTAGACCATATCAAATTATGATGAAAAGGTAACCTTTTGTTTATGAAAACACGTTTTGTACCAAAGAACTCACCTTTTTTTATTTATAAACATTTATATCTTTGTTATTATATATTTTGAAATGTGTACATAAAAACAAGTGTAATTGTTTTGTTTTGTATTTCATCCCAAATATACTGGTTTCTGAGTCAAACTCTGAAAATCACCCGAAATAGTTCGCATAAGCATTTATTTTGCGCTCGGCACTAAAAAAGTTAATGGTATAGTAATGTGTTTGCGCTTATTTTCATTCAATTTTATGTGCTTTTGAGGCTTTAATGGGGATTTTGTGGCGACTTATCATAGCAGTATCATCTGCAAGAGTTGACTTCAATGCTTCGTCACTTTTAGGAATATCTGCGATGAACATTATGTATAATAATGACTTCGCGGAACACTTGTCGTTATTAAAAAAATTATGTGGAACTTGGAAATGTGGTAACTGTTTAAGCCAATGAATTAAGTCACCATGCTACACCTTGTCAAATGCTTGGGCCAAATCAAGAAAACCACCCAGCAATACATCCCAAAATCGGATGCTATTCTTATCGCATTAGCTTTGCGTTATAGTTGTTCAATTGTACCAAGTTTTTTTTTTGCGAAAACCAACAAACAGAGAAAATTAGACATTTTTGATGGCAGAACTTTTTTGAAAAGCTTGGTATAGCAAGACAGTAAGGTGATTGGTCTACATCAAGACGGCAGTGTTGCGTCTTCATCTGGTTTAACTCTCATAATTATCTCCGAATTTTTTTTATTTTTTTGAATACTATCCTAACTTTAATGAAGCACTGTAATGCTTTGCAAGAAAAATGAGAGAAACGCTGGGCAATCCTAATATCTTTTTTTTATTTTTTTAGATTTAAGGCGTTAATAATATTTTTTAGTTTAGATACAAACGCTCAACAAGTGACAGTGTATCTGGGAACTTTGTGGTTTAGTGACAAAAATGGTTGAAATACCATAAACACGCTTTTTCCGTTTTATCCCACAAACCGTTATGCCGTCTCAAGGGTGGTTCAATAAGCTTTCCAAAGCGATTTTTAGTAAAAACGTAGCAACAAAGGCGATTTAGTAACTTTGTAATTCTTTTCCGCCTCGAACCTTGTTGATGCTTTTAACTTTTTTTCTTTCGCTTCTAGCGCTATATAACCCGCTCGCTTTGGGTAATGGGGGCGGTGCTAAATAATTGGGCACGAATACACACTCGCAGAACAGCTCTGAAGGCCGACGCGTAGCTGCGGTCTGGCTCGTAAGTGCATGCCAGGTCAGATTCTTGCAATCTACAGAAAATTGTGCATCTTTTTATGCTGTCGAGCGGTACGGAGTTTATTTATTCTAGTTTAACAGATTTTGATTGCCAGTCGAGCCAAATACTTGTATTAAGGCCATTCAAGGCCTAGTAAAAGTTTTAAGCCAGTCGGGGCTTGTGTAAGGGAAGTCGAAGACCTGGGCAATATAAGTTTTTGTAGTTTTCAGTGGCGGAACCGGAGTTTAGCGACATCGTAGGAGCACCGAAGTTGGAATACACACCCGACCGAGCAACCGCTAAGTATCATCTTGTTGACATATTGTTTGTTATCTTTTTGTCATGCGGACAGTGTCCTTCCTTCGCTATGTCCTCACATATTCTTGAAGCATCCTACAACCAGAGCGCAGTCATATAGGCGGAGTAAAGTTACCCCCGGCAGCAGTAGTTCGAGTGGCTCGTAACCAGTTTGGTTGGACTACACACCTAAAACGTATTTTGTTAA